TTGCACAAAATTACTGTACATATCGAATCATGAATGAAAATTCACATTTTCTCATTCAATGTCTTCTGTTGTAATGATTTTCCATTAACTTTAATCCCAAAATATTTTAACTAAGGGTTGACATAAAGACAAAATAAAATTGTTGGATGGATTTGAGACAAAAGAAATGTTAAAAGACTGCTAGAGAAATTATCTCAAATTGAAAGAGTATTGAATTTTGGGGCCGGAAGAAGTCCAAATGATTTGAAACTCAGGAGATAGGCCCTGAGGCCCAAACCCCAGCAAGAATTGATTATTTTGCATAGAAGTTGGTAGGAACACGACAAAATGGAGACCTTGTTGGACCCAACTGCACACTGAAGTGATTGGGAAGCCAAGAAAAAGTAGAAAAGGACAAGAGAGTGCGTGGGTGACACACGTTCCCTTACAAAATTGGGATGAAAATTGCGTTGGACTGTGGATTCCACATTCCTTCCAATAGTAAAAAAGAGCCAAGTTGCTTAGCGTTTTAGGTTTTAGCTGCACAAATCACAATCCAACTTGCCCGGCTGCCCCCCTATCTCCCTCTATACCTAAAGGCTGCCTTGTCCCCATTCTAGATGCCCTTCAGTTTGGCTTCTAGTCCATTCATATAGGCGTATTCAATTATGGTTTGTGCTTCTGCAAATCTCCATCTCCCAAGTCAATGTCATCACAGATTATTCATTAAGCACTTAATTAAGTTGAAAAAGCAATTAATCATCCTTTATGCTTTCTACCTTCGTTAGGGACAACTCAAGTTTAAAATCTATTGTTATTCATACCGAGAAAAAAAATATCACTAAAAGGTTTAGAAATGATTCTCATAATGAAAGAAAAATACCATTAAATAATTTATAAATGATTATTAAAAGACATAACTAGGAATGATCATCTCATACGAAACATCATAAATATTTTACTTATACAATATGGCTTACCTTGTTGAACACAACTCTACAAATATTATTCAAAACCATGATGATATCAATGAAATGGATGAAAATAAAATATTGCATTATTTTAAATGGAAGATGCATTTCACACCATTCACCAATTTTAATTATTTTATTTGTAGCTCCAGTGATTAACAATTCATAATAAACTTAAAAAATAAAATCCTTATAGATTACAAAAGTACTTGTCAATTCTTTTCTTTTTCTTGGAAAAAAGAAAATAAAGGACCCAGCCACACAAGCGACCAATAATCATAATCATACCACATGCAAAGAAAAAGGAAAATCCATCAGGTTCTCCAATTGTTGTCTTTGTCATCTCTCACCAATAACATTCTTTCTCCCAACAATTTCAGTATATCAGAAATTCTTGATCTTGAACAAGTTCAGAATTTCCTCTGTTTTTCTGTGTTGTGGGAATTTCTGAGTGTTTGGGAGAGAAGAAAGAGATGGCACGGAGGTACTGTTACAAGGATGTGCTGCCCTTCACAGCTCTGGTGACCATGGAGTGTGCAAATGTTGGGTTGAACACTCTGTTCAAGGCTGCTAGTATGAAGGGGATGAGCAACCAAATCTTCATAGTTTATTCTTATGGCATAGCTGCTCTTCTTCTCCTCCCTGCTCCCTTCTTCTCCTTCAGGTCTCTGTTTCTGTGCTTTCCCTCTTTTATTACTCTCCAAAATCCAAGAAATTTCACTGATTTTCTCTGGTTTTGTTGCAGATCAAGAGCACTTCCTCCACTCAGCACCTCCATCATCTGTAAAATTGGCCTTCTTGGGCTAATTGGGTAAGTCATACAGCTCCCTCCTTTCATGATTTTGAGAAAAAGACCCATGATTCTTAACAGGTAATGGCAACCTTTTAACTTGTAACTCTTCTGTTATTAGATTAATGAGTTGGGGTTTTTTGGATGCGACAGGAGTACATCTCAGATCATGGGTTATACAGGAATCAAATTCAGCTCCCCTGCTCTTGCTTCTGCCATCAGCAACCTCACCCCAGCTTTCACTTTCATTCTTGCCATCATTTTCCGGTGTCTTCCCTCTTCCATCCCATGTTCAATTACACATATACCCTTTTATGCTAAAATAATCAAATCGCTGATTCTGTAAACAAAGTCTCTGGATTGGCAGTTAAAAATTTGGTTTAGACCTGATGTGATGCATGTCCTATGTTAGTTCTTTTTCTTTTGTGGTGGGATCCCTTTAGTTTTGTTGAACAGCCTTTAACTTTATTAGGGACT